GTATAATCTATTGCAAGCAGTTATCATAGTATAATCTATTGGAAGCAATTATCAAAGTATTAGAAGCAATTATCATAGTATAATCTATTGTAAGCAGTTATCATAGTATAATCTATTGAAGCAATTATCAAAGTATTAGAAGCAATTATCATAGTATAATCTATTGCAAGCAGTTATCATAGTATAATCTATTGGAAGCAATTATCAAAGTATTAGAAGCAATTATCATAGTATAATCTATTGTAAGCAGTTATCATAGTATAATCTATTGGAAGCAATTATCAAAGTATTAGAAGCAATTATCATAGTATAATCGATTGCAAGCAGTTATCATAGTATAATCTATTGGAAGCAGTTATAGTATAATCTATTGCAAGCAATTACCATAGTATAATCTATTGCAAGCAATTACCATAGTATTGCAAGATTGCAAGCAGTTATCATATCACAAGTGATACAAAAGTCAGTAAGAACTCCAGCAACATTCTCAAGGGCCATGTAATTATGCCATTGTAGAAGACATGAATGAACTTAAATCTTTTGAGTTCCAAGTTTATCTGTATCACAGTAATGTGTTCAGTTTTCACGCCTGATAAAGAAATTATGTTTATCAAAAGATAAATTTTCTCATTAATAAAATGTGTAAGTAATGTTTCAACTTTTCTCTATTTTAAGTCAATTTGTTGGAAAAGTTCAAAGTTCCTTAAAAGTGATATGGAAACAGCTTTTAGTTATAAGGTATATGTATATATAACTAAGTTACTATTTTATACACAGAAATGGTTGTATAAGTGAAGTTTTGCTGTTTTGATTTCTCATTGTCTCATTTATATAATATATGCGGTTTTTGACTTATAAGGGAGAATACTCCACCTTCCATATTCCGTACGTCTATGGTGCAAAGTTGATTTACCTCCCTTATTTACACAATACCAGTGCATATATTTTCCAATGCAAAGAAAAATAACACTTTCCCGCATAAAATAATGACCCCCAATCATAATATTATGACCGAAGTGTCATAATGGTAGTCATAATATTATGACACTCCCCTACACGAAGAAAACTGACCCTCACCCTCTGTAGAATAACGACCCCCACCCAACCTCCCCTACACGTAGAAAACTGACCCTCACATAGAATACTGATCCTCTGTAGAATAACGACCCCCACCCAACCTAAACTATAAAGCCCTTAATGGACTTTTTCAAAGATACGCTGTCAATATAATTATCGAGAATTATTGAGAATTATTCCGTGCTTGTGTCCGTGCGTCCGTGCAACAATTTTACCAAATCATCACTACTATTGGACGGCATTATTTCCAACTCTCGAGGATTGCAACCATAGCAAAAGTGAGCCTTCGTCTGAAGGAGAATATAAATGGATTTGATCTGTATATAAAGAGTAATAGCATTTCATACAAATGACATCGGCTAGGAATATGTCTTTTTACTGCAACCCTTGTTTGTTCTTATTTTTGACTTACGATTTGTTTGCTCAAAGGTAAAAAAAACTAGCTATCCATCTCATCACATCGCCTAATTTTTGAGATATATATATACGAGTATCTTATTGGTCACAAAAGTATAAAGGACTTTTGACATCACTTCCAAAGCTGTCATTAAACTTTGTCCTTTTCCATGCCTCAATCGCCTTTTACAATGCAGAAAATGAAATATGTAACCGTCAGAACATCTTTTTTTAATGAGACCGTGAGCCTTTTATTTCTATTTTTTTTTAAATTTCGGACCAGATAACCGTTTCCAGTTTCAGAATGCTTACAATACACTGCATACATGACCTACGTATAAAACTAATAATATTATGTCCTCTTAAAGAGGAGGAAGGGGAAAACTTGGAAATATCAACAACAACGTCAATCTATGTGGCGACATGGCAGAGTGGTTAACGCGTCAGACTAGTAATCTAATAATCGCTAGCCGCATGGGTTCAAACCCCGTCAGGGGCAAGTCGTTGTTTCCTTGAGCAAGAAACTTTACACTCATTGCTCAGTACTGGTTGGTTCCAGGAACGGATTCGAAAGTGTGTCTTTAAGCTTAAAGCTTCCTACACAATCGAACTAAAATAAATTCTGTATAAACCAACGTCAACTAAACTCTGTATATAGCTGCATTTCTAAAAGATACGTTATATGTTACCGCAATTCGAAGGAAAAAAAAGTATATTCAGGTATTTTGCCAGACCGACGTTATGATAATCGAAAAAAATAAGAAAATATATTGCACTGATAGTTAGCATTCATGAACAGGGACAACAATCCTTCATTTTGTGCGACTCAAATATGTTCTTTTTCTTTTATTAGCAAATGACTTTTTGTACAATTAACGCAGGTGATTAATGACACATTGAAGTATCTCAAGTGCTAGATTTTGCTAAGGCATTAATTGCAAAAACAACATTCGAGAACCCTTTACATAGAAATTAAAGTAACATGATTGTCTTGTAAGGCGGGAATGTCATTATGGTTTTAAAGTGCGTGAGTCTTTTAGTTTACAGAAGTAACATATAGACTATTTTGTCTATGGAACACTAGTTAAACTACTAAAGACATGAGCATGAAATCCGTATTTAATTTTTCAAAAGGTCTAAGGGGCTCACGTACAGAGTTTGTCCAATTGTGATTTCGGGAAAATGATTATGTAAAATGAACTCGATAGAAATATGATAGAAAATGCTACAAACTTATTATCTAAGATGTGTCTGTTGTTATTTTGTACAGTTAAGTCAAGGCGACAACGCGCCGAAACGAAATTAACATTTCTTCCTTCTTTCGTAGATCGCACCTGTGGAACGCACAGGCAACTGAAGATAACGCCAAATATAGGGCACCAACACGCCGAAAACTTTACAACAAAACGAATGTCCTCTGTGGCTCCTTAGCAGTGTTTAGTAGGACCCATTGGAAATAAACTTGTCAACAACTCCCAGCATTAAATTACTATTTGTTTTACATGTTTAGCGTAGGTTAGGCCCACAGGCACGAGTATCGGACCTGGGAAGAAAAAAAAGTGAAATATGAGCCCCCTTCTAAATATACTATATGTTAAACTTTATCTTAACTTATACATGTAGTATATTTTAAAGGGGGCTCATAATCATATTTCACTTTTTTGAACATTTAAGATGAACGCAGAGGTTTTTATTTGTTTGGGTCGTCAGACCAAACAAATAACGGTAGCGAAATTTCAGACCCTGATGTTCTTATTTGCAAATGCCGAAAGTAGTCCAAACTCCTCGAAGCCGTTAGTTCCCTTCATATGTACATTAACGCCGAAAAATTAAGGGAATATTACTGCGTAAAGATTGTCAAATGACAGGCGCATTCATTTTCGTAACGAAAAAATATTTCCCGATTGGTCGAAGATTCATAATATTGTGTTAGTCTTATAGACATACATGCTTAATCAGCTCGGCCTCCATGATTATTTTCAGTGTTTACCATGAACAAAATATAACGAAATTAATAAGGGTTACAAACTGTAATTTAGAATAATATGGTATTCTTCAGTCTGTTGTTTTATTACTCCCCGTGGTCGAAGGGTTTACTCGCTTCCAAAGGTCTGGAGTTCAAATCCCAGTCCAGGCTACTCATTTTTTAAAAATTGTTTATGCCAAATAAACATTGAATTAAATATTGATCAGTGTTGCAATAAGTCTTATAGCCAATTTACTATACATGTAGTTATAACACTGAAAACAGCATTGGTGACACTATACAAACAAATCGGTTTATACTCCTACAACCTTCACCTTTCTGACATTCTGAGACCCATACAAATTCAGCGCCTTCTGTGCTTTGATTTATCAATGTGGTCATATTTTCTTCCTATGTCCGATACTCGTGCCTGTGGTAAGGCCGAAATACCGTATCCATTCTCAGCAGTTCAAGGCCTTAAAGGACCGAAAAGTTGCGATTGATATTTATACTGTGCTCCTCTTAGTTCACGATACTTAACACTTTAAAAGAAAACAAACAATGAACCTATATGGTACAAAACTGTCATATGCTGTAACATTTAGGTATTTTTATACTATATGACACAAGGAAACAATCAAAATTAGTTTTAATGGACCAGATGTAGACCATGTGTCGGCTTTTTTTCAAGAAAACATTTTGTCATCATTAAAATCGCGGTAATAAGTGTTACACTATAGTTCTTTCATATTTCATTTAAAATTTCTACATGGTATACTGTTCAATTTTAAATATCAAAACTATATTTACTTTGTGACTCAAAATAAACAAGAATATTTAGAAAATGATGATTGTTCCTAACATACAGACACATTTTATGGACTATTGTAGCTTTTTGCAGAAATTTGTAAATAAAAAATGCTGTTCTATTATACGTAAAAATCTAGAAATTTAAAATATTTTGCACAAAAAACTTTGTTGTTTAGGTGTATGGATAAATTATATCAATTCTGACAAATTTTAACATTGGTCACATTACCGTGAACTACATGTAAGTGATGACGCGGAATTAGTGATGTTGAGTATAGTTTCCCACTTATTCCTGATTTGTGATTTATATTTTCAAACATCGAAGAATATGCAAAATGTGTATTGCAAATATTTGTGCGTCCAATTATTTAATCAATAAATTATACAGTATGCATTTGTTTCTAAATGACAAATTTGACTTAAAAATTATAGAAAATAAATTTCTAATTACCTCCTTTTATTTACATAAAATGTTAAATTCGGTAATATCTTTATAAATAATGCTTATTGGAACTTACAATATTGCTAAATCTTAATTTGAGCATCATATTGATGAAATAAATCCATTGTGTTACATGATCTTTAATCCAAAGTTTAAGACCATTCTACATTTTGCCCGGAGATCACATCTCACTTTTAAATACCATTTTAACAGCATCGTCTAAACAAAAGAGGGGGTGTCTTGCTTTGTAAGAAGTAGAAGTCGTTTGCGCAAATATTAAAAGCACAGAGCGAAAGGACGAAACTTCGTGGAGCGAATGAATTACATATCGAAAACGAGGCTGGTCATGAAAGATGGCTGCTGCGGTTCAGCATCACCCGAGTCTGGACCGAAATGAAACAAAAATAACATTGGAAATTAAAACTAAATCTGTTGAGCAGACATTAATTCCATTAGTAACTCAAGTAAGTCAGTTCCTGGTTGTTGCGATAGCTTAACATCTGCAAGCCACAGATCTAACTTTATAATTTTGGACACTTGTTTCCGTCATGGTTGAATAATTTTGACAGATGACAAGAATAAGAATATTCTGACAATGTATGTAGCTTTTGCATGAAAGCAATATTTATTTTGTAGTTATTTTGCGTCATGATTTGTCATTATAGGTATAAAAAGCTTCAGAGAGTAAAGGTTGATTTCAGTTTCATATAAATTTACGCAAATTATCTGATTATCATTCATTTGGCAATCTTCTGGAAAAGAGATTTAGACCCCTGTTTCAGAAGTAAAACTTGTATAAAATACACTATAGAAAATGGAATGAACCTTATTAACCTGAACCTTACTTTATGAAATGAACTCCTGGTTAAGACCTGGGGTCTATGCCAGAATATAGCCCGTCCTTGGCCAGATCATGACCCCTCCTTTCTCAGCCTTTGTTAAATCTTAATATATGTAACTCTGCATACTCTTCACTGATATGCATCCTATTTGTCTACGTCCCCACAAGGGGTTTGACATTAACGGAAGATAATAGATACATTTGGAGCGCTGTCATCCATATTGAGAGTGCCCTAAAACGACGCTATTGATTGGCTAATTTATTTACACACGATAGGAGACTGTACACCATAATTCTTTTACTTACGTTGTTCACCAATATCAAGAGCATAGACCTGCAAAGTATCAACAAGTGAAAACTTGTTTATCTTTTCTTTATTTCTTTCATAAATAAAGCATAATAATATGTGATAAATGCTATTGTTGTATTTTTACAGTGGTTTGGACAGTTTCCCTAGTCTGTTTGACCTCCTCTGCTGAAAAAATATAGGTTGGAAACACGGATTTATATTACAATTATTGTCAATTAAAGTCCGTGGTTGGAAAATAGCACCTTTACTTTCTTTGTCGAACCTGCAAAAACAAAAAAATACATTTAGTGGAGCAACTAATGAAAATATGGCAATTCATTCCATCCAAATAACATAAATATATCCAATTAATTTTCAATTAACATTAATTTATCAATTAATAACCGCAAAAAAAATCTACAACAGGTACAGGTTGCTTTAGGGTGAAAAAATGCACCAAAAAAAACACTATTGGGTAATTTTACTGCCACGTGACCTGAGAATAAGGAAATGAGGTCAGCAGACAGGGAGGTATTTTCCAGCCGATTTTTTCAAGGAAAACATGACATAATAAAGCGAGGGTCAAAATTGCATTAGTGAAATCATACAAAAATCTCTTAAATAAGGTATAACATGCTAAATCTTACCTTTGGGTGTCTTATTTACTACATATTGTTACCTAACCAACTAGAGGATTCCCCTTTTGCTATAGCGTAGTACATTAATATGACGTAAGCGGCCGCTTATATCAATTATGATGCAAAATATAAATGGCGTCGAAATAGGGCAGCGTAAAAACAGGTCATTCGACGATAATAAGAATAGAGCCAATTATTAGTCAGTGAACTGTCATAGTCCTATAAATATGATGTTGCTTTGAGAAATTTTTGCTTCTGGGCAAAGCAATTTCTTATCAGAATTGCACTAAAACGCATACACAGGCCATAGCACTTAAAAACACTTAACCAATTACTTCATGAGCATTTTGTGAAAAATGGCTGTTTTCATTGAAAAGTCTCCCGTTACAAGTTCATATTGCTATAAAACTATAAAAACTGCTTCAATACTTATCAAACTTGGCATAAATGTTGACTGGATCATTGCCTTTGTAACAACATGCCCAGGCTTAAATTTCTTGTTACCATGGCAACGAGGGGACATCTCAAAATTGCCAAAAGTCACTATTTTGCGTTAATTTTATCCATCAAAATTGATTTCAAAGTGTTGCAACTTTTCAATGGAATGAGATAGAGTCAAAGGCTTTTCAGCGTTGGTTATACGTTACTTTATGATCGATCTGGGGTCATTTTTTTAGCCTCTCACAAGTCCAAAATTTTCTTATTGATGAGGGAGACTACCGCCACCTTCAAACCCCCAATACAGAAGGGGGCACATCCCCCTCCTGGCAACCCCTTGATGTATCTTATGGTGTGGGGCTGCGCCGAAAAAGTGGTCACTTTTTTTCAACAACATTTCTCAAACAAAAACAAGACTAGTGTTAGGGGCTTAAATAAGGCATTTTTCACCATTTGAGACAACACAAAAGGTGGGTGAAAAAAGGCGTTAAAAGGCATGTATATCATGTAATGGGTTAAGTCAGCGTATAAATACATTGATTTTGACCTATTCATGAACAAAAATAAAACATGAATCTACCTTTTCAGGAAATAATTAAACACACATCTAAAAAATCGTGATTAAATCCTCTTATTTAAGTGAATTACTTATACAGTCGATAAACAAATGGCTGTTACACAATGCGCAAAATCTGATTGGCTAATTCTGATCTATGCAAGTGTTTAAATGAGTCAAAAGTTTCAAACAAAATATTTTTGAACCAGTGTTCGAAATTAGCAGTAGTCCGATAGCCCCTGACTACTAAATTTCTCCCTGGGCTACCAACTTTTTACAGTAACAAGCCCGACCAGACTACTGTATTTTCAGAGGCACTATAAACAACTGTTTTGAACAAATGAATCGTGCTATTGAAATGTCTTCTGGGCTAGTGGTTAATATTCCAATCAGGTAGTCCGCCTAGTGGATTTAAATCCGAATTTCTTACACTGTTGAACGAAATGTTTCCCCATGCAAAGTCAGCGTGAGTAAATATATTTTTCTGTTTTAAAAATTTGGAATCAGTCTTAAAGCGCTTTATTTAACCAGTATGGCCGATAGGCAAAAATTTTATTTTAAATTGATAACTACATTGAGAGTTTTTGTTCATGATTAAGCATAAAATTGAAAAGAAAATTTGATAAACTTTTGTGTTAAGCTTGAAAGCCAAGAAAATAGACATTTTTTTATTTTTTATATTGAGTTTATCAGCAATAACTATTAGACGTCGGGCTTGTTTTATACATCAGAAACATATAATACATAAAGAAAGTATGTTTTCTTGTTGACATAATTTTCTGTTACAGACCTCAAAAAATTTAAAGATATGCTTTGCTCAAATTTGTTGTTAATTGCTACACAGTCTCTATGAAAATATAAGATAAACATGTTTTGACTTCTCAAGTTCTTATAAAGTAGATCTCTATATGTTATGTTTAAAATTCTTCACACTATAGGTGGTCACATCATGAAAATATATTGTCTTTTTAAAAAAGGCAGTTTTCTGAAAAAAGTACCAACTTTACTTTACCTGTAATCTTTCCATACATATAGTTTATTCATTCTTTTATTCAAATAAGACATATTCTGTAAGAATTTTATAGATTTCAATGAATTTTGAGATTAAAATATTTTACTCAAGGGCATAGTAAATCTTAAATTCCATGTACAAACTAGGCAAGAAATAAGGAAAAAGAGAATAGTGACTTCTATCCTTCACACAAAGTAGAGTGATATTTTCACAGTCTTGACATCCATGAAGAAAGGGGTTATTATAATTTGAATTGATATTCTAAATTGTGAATTGATATTGTAACAATTGTTGAATATCAATATATTGATATCACAGCCTGTAAGCTAGTAATGTTTTAATCATATACTGTACTAATCTATCCTGAAATGGAGGCTTCCTGGTTGAAATTGACCCTTGGTATAATAATCCATTTGTCTGCAAATAGATAGAAAAGGCTTACCAGGATAATTTATGATAGTAAAAATTGCTTTTGTAATGGTGGCAGGGTGGCTTCATGGAGGGGAAAAAAGTGTCGGGGAAATAAGTATAAACTGTCCATTTTATGTTCAGTTGCAATACTATTACCATAACCTTTTCAAATTACATTGTCCCTGTCTGTCTTACACTTTTGGTGAAATAAACCTCAAAATTGGTTTTTTGTTTGCACTTGTTGATGATTTTTTTCCAGATGTAGGGGTAAATACATGTATATACTTTAAGAAGATGGTAATGAGGTATTTAAATTAGCCCATGATCCAATTAGATGAAACAAAATTCATAAGTTTTGAATTCAAATTTACAGTCTATGTTTTAACATTTGAAACTGATGAAAAATAGAAACTGGACTAAATAAGGCACTAATGTTGGTTAGTATATGATTAACTTCAGATTTTAGAATTAATAAATTATATCGGTCTTAGGTGTGTTTATCAGCTTTTAACATTAGTCCACAAATATCATAGGCCTGACAAAATCACAACGAGTGTTAAAATCTACCGGTACAATATATTGCCACTTAAAAGTTGAATGTTAATGGTTTTAAGTAAGATCAATCTTTTCCCAACTTTTTCCTATCAAACATAAATGTATACATTGTATTTAGCTATTTAAGTTTTAACTTAAAACAAACAAAAAAGAAAATAATTTGATATTTTAAATGATCTATAAATGAAGGATATCACTTCTTGATTTAAAAGTAAAGTCATGCATAACATGCATAGTTACTGCTCTAATTTTGGTTTCATTTTTCTTATTCAGTAAAATTGATACAAACAGGTGTGCAATTTTTAGCTCGACTATTTGATAAGAATAAGTAGAGCTATTGTAGTCACCCGAGCGTCGGAGTCGGTGTAGGCGTAACCACTTATGTTAAAGTTTTTGTAAGACCTCAAATATTTTCAAAGTCCATTGACATAGAAATATGTCCCCAAATATAAATTTTAAAGTATTTCAATAAACCCTAATCATACACTTATATTAATGTTAGAAAGAAATCAGGAGTCCCTTTTCCACATTCTTTCGAGAAAGTAAACTATTGAAGACCGTAGAGCTTTGATTTGTTGGCTCTTCTAATGTGAAACAACATAACAAATTTTTATTTTTAGTGTTTTCCTTAACTTATCCTCAGCACTTCAATATTATTTAAGAGCTCACAGCTGTCAAATTTAAGGTAAAGCTCACAAATTTGATTGTTTGATGGAGTTCCACA